ATAACAAAATCTTAACTTATTTTTATTTCTAGGCTCTTTCATTATCATCCTCATCTTGATATCGTTCCATGACTATTAAATGGGATCATTCCTGCTCTTCAGAAATTCAAAATTTCTGCACCACTGGTTTTGTAGCTGTTTCATAAAACTGTTAACTAAAAGCTATGTCTATGCAACCTTTCAAGAATGGTGTGTCAAGGAACTGGACACAGAGAGTACTGCCTTTACTTCGGGACTTACTTGCTGATCCAGCTGTACTTCAGAAAAATAATATTAAGCATGTTTTGTGTATACAAGACAAAACTGTCAAAGTGACACAAAACAGACTTGAAGATAGCCTTTTTTATGTTTCTCTATTTCTGGGCTGATGAATTTTTTCATTTGTATTATAACCCTGCAGAATTTTCCTTGGTTAAAAACACTTTCTTAGCTGGTCATTTCTTTGTAAAATAGCAAATCTAAATCTCCTATCAGCTTTTTTTGTTTTTTGTTTTTTTGTTTGTTTGTTTGTTTTTGTTTTTCTTAAAAATATGAACTGTTAGGAAGCTTTTTACTGCTTTATGTTTTTTGGGTGTTTTGAGGACATGATGATTACATTTATGGTTTCAAAATAATTTTTTAAAAAATATTATTAGACCACATACAAAGATAATGGATTGCATATAGACAAAGAAATAAACTTCAGATTTGTGATTTTGTTTCTAATCTTGATACAGATTTACACTATTTATAAAATACATATTTATTACTTAAAAATATTTGTGAATGGAATCTTGTTTTTTCCAGACTTAACTGCCATTAAATGCTAAGGAGTTCTGTACTTTTAGCCACTACTCCTATTACATTTTCTATGTGTAAATAAAACTGCCTAGTAGTATACATAAATTTTTATTAAAATTGTTAAATGGTGAGAGGATTTTCCAATGTTTGAGTTTAAAAACTTCCTGTAAAAATCCACTTTTTGTTCATTTTCAAATCTAACAATTATATGTATTTTTATATGTGTGTGTGTGTGTAAGTTAACACACACGTATAATGTATACAGAACCCTTAATAGAACTGTATAGATTTTAAAAGTTTTATTTTTTACATCTATGATAGTTTTTGAGGTGCCTACTATAAAGTACTACCCACAGAAGTATGCAGTTTTTAAAGTAAATGTCTTTTAGTGTGATTTATTAAGTTATAGCCACCACAATGATAGCCCATGAATAATTGCTGGCAAAATGTATTTTATAACAGTAAAAGCCAAATAGTGACATAAAGATTTAAAAGGGGACATTATTATATAGATTTGATAAATCATGTTTATAATTAAACATTTCTTATTGTAAAGAGATTCAGAATAATGATCTCTGTTTTAGAGAACAATATGTTAACTGACGTATTTTTTTAAAACTGGATGACTTTGAAATGCTATACTGTCCTCCTTGTAAAACAACATGGTTTGGGGTGAATGGGAGGGGAAAGCATCACAAAGTCTAAATCACTAGTAAATTATAATAAGTTCATTAAAATTTTTATTTCCTGTGAACAACTTGCTAATTAAATATCACCTCATTTTATAATAATACTTGTATTTTCTATCTCTGTTTCTGAAGCATTTTTATTTTATCATGCTCTTCGTTTTTTACACCTTTCCAGAGAGGTTTAGTGAAGAATCATAGAATGCTTTAATGAAAAATGGGAATTTATAATTTTGTCTGGTGAAATGTCTTGATCATTTCATTAATGAACTACTTCTACAGACAACTTTGGAATATTTAGGTTTCCTAGAAGTAGTTGTTACAAAATCAGGAAGATATTTTATTAAACTATGTAATAATTTTTTGAGCATCGAAATCCATTAGCAGTAATCATTACACATCTATTTCAGAAAAAAATAATTATAGTTTGTAATTAAGGAAGAAAAATACATATTTTAAATGCTGATATTTTTGTAATTTTCTTGTAAATTGTATTATTCGGAAATCGTTGACATTAAAATTAAGACTTTTTTTATTTTTCTGCCCCCTCAAACAAAACTACAAATCAACCGTGAGGAAGCAAACAATATGGAATACCAGAAGTACACCTGAACTTTTCTTAAGCAACTGTTTTGCATTGCTAACATATCTTATGTCTTAGCTCTTTTTAAGATGATTTATGGCCAAGATTACAGTATGTTGAATTTACAGAATTTACCTTTTCATAAAAATGACTTTACCTGTTTATCCTTTACATTTTTCCTTTTTTTTTTTCCTCCCTGGGATGGAAACTCCCTCTGTTACCCTGACTGGAATGGGGTGGTGCAATCTCAGCTCACTGCAGCCTCCGCCTCCCCGGTTCAAGCGATTCTCCTGCCTCAACCTGTCGAGTAGCTGGGATTACAGGCGCCCACCATTATGCCAGCCTAATTTTTTTTGTATTTTTTGTTGAGACGGGGTTTCACCCTGCTGGCCGGAATGATGTCAAATGCCTGGTCCACCCACCTCGGCCTCTCAGAGTGCCGGGATTACAGGTATGAGTCACTGTGGCTGGCCCTTTTCCCGTGTTTTCTGATGCGTGCTTGGATTATCCATCGAGAGGAACACTTTTCAGAAGTTTACACTCTTTTAAATGGGCAGAGAACCAAAACTGAAAATCAAATATATCACTGGTTAGGCGTATGTCTAGATTAATGAAGTTCTGCATCTATTTGATCAATTTTTCATACTTTGTAAGTTGCATTTTGGGGATCTTCTAAGAAATAGATTATTTTCTGCTGTCCTTTGTACTGCTGGTGATGTGAAGCTGCTCAAGTAGACCCTACCCACGTGCCTTTCCGTTAAAGACGTTTTTATCATGGTACACACCTTGTTCAGAAAATAATGTAGTAGCTGCATAAAACAGATACGTTTCCCACAGTAAAATCAGAACTATGTGGACAACAGCCATGTTTCTCAGCAATTAAATATGAAGTTGACTTAGATTGATTTGCATTTCTGCCATGTATGTATAACGTGGCTTGCTTAATCTGGTTGTTACCGGAAATCTTAAACGTCCGCTTTTCTTTTTCTTTTTATTGTCTTGAGACAGAATTTTGCTCTTGTCGCCCAGGGTGGAGTGCAGTAACGTGATCTCGGCCCACTGCAACCTCCGCCTCACAGCTCAGGTGATTCGCCTGCCTCGGCCTCCTAAGTAGCCGGGATTACAGACGCCTGCCAAATTTCTGTATTTTTAGTGGAGATGGGGTTTCACCATGTTGGACAGCCTGGTCTTGAACTCGTGACCTCAGGTGACCCACCTACCTCGACCTCCCAAAGTGCTGGCATTACAGGCGTGCACCACTGCCCCCAGCCAGATTCTGCATTTTAATGTAAAACATTAGCTACTTTTCCAAAGTAATAAATTTAAAAATAGGATTTTCAGAGTACTAGTATTTAGTCAACTTAAGTTTATGATTACATAATTTCAGTGTAAATGAAGAATCTGTTCCTTTTTGTTAGCCATTCAGTTACTATGATGTAGTTTTATTTCTTTTAGATGTGTTCTAATTAACTTCTCCTAAAAGACAAATGTGGATAAGATGTGAACTTGTTCTCTACATTCCGTATCCACAAGGCTTTTATCATGTCTGGTATGGTACATCCACGGGAATAGATAACAAAGAGAGTACTATTACAGCTGGCATTCAAGAATGTATTAAGTAAGCCGGGTGTCGGGTGCCGTGGTTCACAGGTATAATCCCAGCACTTTGGGAGGCCGAGGCAGGCGGATCACCTGAGGTCAGGAATTTGAGACCAGCCTGGCCAACATGGTGAAACCCCATCTCTACTATATATAAATATAAAACTTAGCCAGGCATAGTGGTGCAAGCCTGTAATCCCACTTACTTGGGAGGCTGAGGCAGGAGAATCGTTCGAACCTGAGAGGCGGAGGTTACAGTGAGACTGCAGTCCAGCTTGGGTGACAGAGTGAGACTCTGTCTCAGAAAAAAAA